TCCAGAGTTCTCCTACCCTGTCTTGACCACATAGTTAGCTCCTACAAGGTCACTTTCTCTACCACCATCCTTGATCTATATGATGGAGGAGCAGACTGATAAAAGAATTCCCAAAAAGTCTCAATATGGGAAATTAGTGAATAACGACCAAGTCAGCTATGTGAAAATACCCTTTTAAACTCACTGAAACTCACTGAAAGTTCTAACAGGGAACTGGAAAGATGAGTCTGAAGGTTTTGATAAGAGCAGATTTTCTCCAATCTAAAGAAAAAGAGGAGACACTCCTAGAAACTACATTTTTAATTAATTTTTAAAATTTACATATGACAGTGATATAAGGAGGCTGATTCATAGTGGGGTAGGGAGGGGGAGCATGGGAGGAATAGACAAACTCTAGATAGGGCAGAGGGGTGGGAGGGAAAGGGAGGGGGCATAGGGGTTAGAAATGATGGTGGAATGTGATGGGCAATATTATCCAAAGTACATGTATGAAGACATTAATTGGTGTGAATATACTCTGTATACAACCAGAGATATGAAAAATTATGCTCTATATATGTAATTAGAAACTACAATTTTTAAAGAGAAAAGTCAAATGAAGTAGATGAGTGAAGAATAATGAGTGAAGAATAATTAAGTGACTTATTGAGGGTAACTTAACCAGTTGATGGCAGGATTAAGAAAGACTACAGAATACTCTGTAACCTACCTATGGTGTTTTAGATCTAATAAGACATAATCTGCAGGTAGGTACAAAAAATAGAGCAGTTGTCGTTTGTCAAAACTCCAAACATTTGTGAAACTGAAGTAAACTTGCTCATTGCTTCAATTATTCCCCAGGGGAAAAATGCCCAAAGACATCCTAATTATATGGGTTGCATATACATAAAATACACAAGGAAGTCTCTTCAAATATAGCAGGTGCATGTCTTCATTCCTTCCCTCTCTGCTCTTTTAAAAAATGCCCCTTTAAAAAGTTCCCACTCACCATCTGTTAGGTAAATTTCCTAAAACCCAGTAAATGTAGAGTCAGAGATTATTATACAGATTATTCCAAATGGCAGTGACACCTATATTTATGCAATTTAAAAAATATGTAGGATAGAGTTGCCTTTAAAAAAAATTCCCCACTATAGTAATACCACATTACCCTAGGAGCTGAGTTCTGTTCTATTACATAAGAGAGAGAACAGGGGGAGAGAGAGAAGAGTGGGAGCTGGGTAGAAAGGAAGGGAAAGTGTAAGCACTTATGTATAAAATACTATCCTAGAAGTTTGACACTGTATTTTTTTAATGAGCAGGTGAAAAAATATTAACACATTTACAAATGTATGTCAATTTTGGTACAGTCTTACATTTGCATATGCTCCCATAAGGATACAGTTGACCATTATTTCCATCTAGTTAGTTTTGGGGAGAGGACAAGTGGAAGAGATGCTATTCAATTCCAAGTCTATATTCTGATCCATGTCACTACATGTAAAATACTGTTCATTCAAAATCGGATGTAGCAAAAGTTATTTATACTGCCATAGTGTTTGCTCTCAAGTCAATAACAGAGGAGCCTTGAATAAAAATGTTCCCATTACTTCCCAGTAATATATCTTATTTACAACCCATAAAACAGTGGTCAGAGGAGATTTATTCTTTGGTCACCAAATTATATAACCTCTCAACTTTAAGCCATCCCCACTATGTGATTATTTTCTCAAAATATGTTACTCATAGTCAATATTAATTTATGTTTAATCTTTCTTAGCATTAAGAGAGTATTATTTTGCACAGGCTCAAATACAAATTTCCAGAAATTCCTCCCTGATGCTTCCAGGCTGAAAATGCATTGCAAGGCAGCGGTACTGATTTAATTCTACTTGGCAGAGCCCTGGCCACACACTAATTTCATTAGCCTCAAATTCCTGGATTTGGAAGACCCACTGGATATGATTCCTGTTCTCAGCCATGTCATTTACTAACCTATTCAGTGTGGTTGTAGATCAGAGAGAGAGAGGGGGCAGTTGCTCAGCTCCTATCTTTGGGTTATCTTTGGACCAGAACAGGAAGAATTACAAGTCAAAGACACTATTTACATCTGAGTAGTCATTCAAACCCAGGTCCTCACTTTCAGCAAAGAACTTCATCCCAAGGCTTTGCCGGTGGCAGCAGCAGCAGCAGCAGCAGTTACATCTATTGCTRTCTCATTACTCTCTCCTGCCCCCCAACACCCCCATACTTTAGTCCCAGAGAATTTCCTCTCCCAAGCTAGAGACTTAGCTCAACATAAATTTATACCTCAATTGATTAGTTTGGCTTCACCTCACACCCTAGCAACCCAGAGGGATCAGAGGGAAAAAGAATACTCAAATCATTGTAAAGAATTCAATCATTTGGAGGAATTTATTTTCTATAGGACAATTTTAATTGAGCTGAACCCTAGAATCCCAGAGAAGATTCACTTGTTCTCTTTTTCTTCGTTCTCTGATTGTGTTTATGAACAATGGGGTCTGTGCACCATTATTCTCCTTACTCATTTTGCAGGCTGTCAGAAGCTGGAAAGCTGGGGGCTGGACTTGTATGCTAGGAGCTTCTGAAATCACATGCAAAAAAAAAAAAAAAAAAACACTGGGAAAGAAATACACGCGCACACACACACACACATACTCACATACACTCACACGTCAACTTGGGCAATGGCTAACCAATGGCTATCTAGCTTGCAACACAAGCTACAAGTTAGTGCAACCTCTTCTCAATAAAATGCAGGTGAAAATGGGGGGCTCTTTTCCCCTCAGCTGTTCAATCCAACATGAATAGCTGCAATTTGCCAATTAGAGGAATGACAGTGTTTTCTTTGAATGTTTTAGTCCCAACCCACACTGCACACACTGGCATTCAGTTCCTCTCCTCTCTGGCTCAGGGAATGGGGAAACTGATTGTAAGATCAGCTGTTTGTTTCCCCATAAGTTGCCTCAGGTTCTAACACTAAGTTGAGGAATTGGTTCCTGCTGTAATCTTTTCCAGCAAACAGTTCTRAGCTTAACCTGCAAAGGCTTTCTTGACTTCAACGTGTCTTGTCTCCCTTTTTTCAGACCCACAGGTCCATCTGCAGTGGGCCCAATGCTCTGAGTGAAGAGAGAAACAGGCAGCAAAATGATTTGAAAATGCTAAACACAAAATGTGCCTTCAAGCCCCAGGAATGAGAGGAAAATGCTATTATCACCCCAAACACTGCCCTCTCAAGTTGTCCAGCACTGAGCTCAGAGATAAGGGAAGTACTTCTGGGTTTTGATTATAAAACCTCAGGTTCTTCACCCAAAGCAAGCAACCCAGAGTTAATCTACCCCCAAAGCACTTAAGGTTTACAAACATCTAGAGACTGTCTACACTGGTACACTCAGGAGGCATCAGGGTTGTTCTAAGGACCAGAGGGGCCATGCCAGGCTGCCCCCGTGGATGAATGCCCCCCCTTCTTGAAAACAAACTTTGCACCCAAGGAGGTGAGCAGTGACATCCTGAGTTTGACAAGGAGTCCCCTCCTGAAACCCACACCCTTAGAGAAAACTCTTGAGAAAGAGACAATTTCTCAGATTTGGACAGCATAATGGTGCCAGGAACATCAAGCACATCTGGGGATGGGATTAACCAGGCTTGGGTACCATTAAGCACAGAGAACCTTCCATTAAGAAAGGGCCATATCAAGACAGAGATGAATGGAGAACTTACAACTGAGAAAGAATTCTTGAGAAAAACAGAGGTTGAGGGGGAGAATAAATAATAAAGGGAGGGAAAACAGAGCAAGGAGACAGAGATAGATGCACATACAGGAAGAAACACGGAGAAGAGAACCCTCTGTCGCCGAGACTCTGAAACTCATTTTCTGAAGCTCAAAGCTATCCATTTTTACCCAATGCAGCACTGGAGCCCCGGGGCAGAGGCTGCAGGAACAGGAGGCGAGAGAGCACTGCGGTAGAACCCACCGCTCAGCAGTCCCGGATCCGCCTTCCTCCAATTTTTGCCAGGGCTCTCCGGAACCCGGAGTAGAACCTCGGGTCCCTGCTAAGCGCACCCCACCGCCCCAGGCGCATTCTTGCCTAGCTCTGAGAATCTTCCTTTGAGATCAGAGTCCAGGATTGGGGTTGGGGGCTGAATTAGGGAGGTAGAAGGCGAGGGGGCGGAGGGAGCAGGCAGTGAAAGCTATTTTGTTTCGCAGTTAGCATGAGCTCATCTCTGGGCTGAGGTCTTAAGTGGCAAGAGTAGAAAGCTGATCGTCCAGCTCCTGCCAGTGGCGGAACTGCAAATGCAATTTAGATGGTGCAAAAAAAAAAAAAAAATTGCCCGGAGGAAATCAATTGGGGGGTCACGTCTGCAGGCGGCATCTCCACGATTGGGGAGGTTCCCCCACGTATCCTGCCCCTGGCTCTGTTGAAGACTGGCTACAGGTCGGAAATCCAACCCGAGAAAGAAAAGCTATTAACATCCACAACTAGCTGACCCCTCAGTTTAAGAAATGCCTCCTTAAGGTCATCTCAAAATTTTCCAAAGAACTTGAGGTTTCCTAGGTGGCTCCAGGTGGGACGCTAGGGAGTTAGGAAATGCCCAGTTTCTAGGCATCTTCTCATCTTTCATATCCATGCGCCTAACCTGCTTTTCTAGGAGCCCAGCACTTTTACCAGCCTGTTTTCGGACCATATTTCACTCTAATGCAAACCCATTTAAATCATCGCCTTGTTTTTCGCAGATTGCTTCTTGTAAATGGGGCCATAAATCCAGAATGTCAAGTCGGATGGAGTGGAGCGTGGACAGGGGAGAGATGGAAGGGAAATAAAGCAAGCAGAGAAGGTACCTCCTAGGATGGAGAGGGAGGGATTCGGCGGGATTTCCAGAGTGGAAATGCGGGAAGGCCGACCTGACCCGCAACCCTGGAGTCCAAACCAGCTATTAAAGCTAAAAGCGCCTAGAACCAAAGCATGTTCCAACCCGAGGGAGCGCCCCCCCCCCCCTACCTGGAAAAGCCTCAGAATGTTGGCTACCATGATGGAGACCGAACTCCCCGAAGCCCCAATCACTCCAACTACTTTCTCTGGCTTGACGAAAACGGGGGGTTCGCCATTGGTGCAGCGCACGTCGGAGGTGTCCTTCTGGATGAGCGCCTGGACGAAAGTGAGCGACTGTTCGAGCGCATAAGTGTCCCTGGAACAAGTGTCCAGGATCCGCGCGCCCAGCGTCACGTTGGGCAGCAGGTTGGGATCGCTGTTGATCTGGTCCAGGGCATAAAGCATAGCTTCCAGCCTGTGGATCCCATTCTCCCTCTTGATGTCGCCGCAGGGCACTCCGCTGGGACCCTTGGCATGCACCGGGAACAGCCCCCCAAGGGTGACGTCCCCCTCAATCCGGATCGAGTGCGGGGCGTACATCTCCTGGCCGCGCGCCGCCGCCGCCAGCGCGCACAGGAGCACCTCCAGCACGCAGCAGGGGAACTTCATCAAAGTCAGGACGTGGAGCAGCTTCCCCAGCTGGACCATGCTGCTCGGACTGCTGCGGTGGCGGCGGCGGCACTGGAGGGGATGGTGGTGGGCTCCCGGAGGTCCGGGCCCCTAGAGGTGAGCTCCTTTGGGGAAGCCCAGGGACTTCTGCAGGCACGGAAGGTGGGGGCGCCCGAGGATGGGCAGCCAGACAGGGTGAGGGGTCCCAGGGCGCCCGCCAGCCTGGGGCGCCTAGCGCTCTTGGGTTCGCCAGCCAGTGCGCCGCGCTCGCGCCCGGGCTTGCAGCTTGTGCTCTCGAACAGCCCAGCACTGGGGAGAGGGCAGGGACTGCTATCGCTTTAAATGGTCGTTCGGCTCCCTCTCCTCCTCCCACTCTCTCCCTCCCTTCCTCGCCTGCTCTCCTTTTCTCCCCACCCTTCCCAGCGCCCGCCCTCCCCACTGGTTTGCATCATCACGCAGGGAGGGGCTGCGTGCTGAGGTAAGGGGGGAGTGGGTGGGCGCCTGGGGAAGGGGGGAGGTTGCCTCGCAATGGGAGTTTCATGGTCCCCAAGGAATCTAGGGATTTCGGGTAGCAGGCGAAGGCTGAGCTCTTGCCCCCAACTCACTGTGGAAGCCTCTTGTCCTCCTACACCCACACCAACATTATGGGTATAGGTGGCAGCAGTCTTGGGATGAGCCTGGGATGACTGGTGCTGACTGCTCCCAGTCCCTAGGTTCGGAGACTTGGCTCTTCCCTCTGGGAGAACGCCAGGGAACCAGGAAGAGGAGGAGAAGCCAGTGAAGGAGTGGCACTGGGATACCCTAGTCTTTACTCCTGATTCATCCTTGTGCTAGTTTTTACTAAGAAAAACCTATAACACACCGGAGTCTGATTCATGATTTAAAAAACATTTACCTAGACATTTACCCTATCCATAGGGCTAGACACTTGACTAGCCTGTAGGGAAGTAGAAGCCAAGAGCAAACGTTAGAGATAGCATTGCATCCTTGGTATTTAGGGGTTACTAGGGCTATAGCTTGCTAAACTGACCGCAGTCTCCAGCAGCTCTGTGTCAAAAACCTCGGACTCATTGTTTTTCTTCTTTTAGTCGCTAGAGATGGAACTGAGAACTCCGCAGAGCACACTTTCTTCTCTAGCTCTGACAGGTGTAAGGCTCCCTCCTACCTATTTCCAGAGACGTTTCTGAGCTGGTGACAAGCTTTTGCGGTTAGGAAACAGCAGGGAAGAGGTGCTGGTAGGAGAAAGGGACACACATAAGTCTCCCTGTAGATTAGGAATGCCTTTCTCTTTCTCTGCTGGGGATCCTGGGGTAAAGTCTGGATGCCAAAGCAGGTTGCAACTGCAATTATGAAGCTCTTTATTATAGGTGTTCCCTCCTGCAAAACTTGGCCCATTAAAGCAACAAGTGGCTCTCATTCCTATGTAAGGACATGTAATATTTTTGTCCTTGGGAACTAGAGTAGAGTCAAGGAGATTAACTCAAGGCTTGCTGAGACTTTCTGTTGGAGCACACCAAAACCATATTACACAGAATTGAGGGCAGAAAGAAAACCAGACACAGATGTTTGTTGTTGATGATGGGAAAGTATTACTGTATTTAAGAGGAGTTGGGAGGGACAAAAGATGGGTAGTTTATTATCTCTGCCGCCAACTACCTGTGTGCCCTTGGCATTTCTATTCCCCTGCTTGAGTTTTAGTTTCCCCATCTGGAAAATGATGAGATTGAACTGGATGCTCTCCAAGTTATCTTTTAACTCTCAAATCCTCTGTTAAAATAGGCCATGTCCCTTTGGCCATGGTGCTCTTTTTAGGCCAATGTTCTCTGTTCCTTTATGTATAGAAAACCAGCACAAGATAGCTAAAGATCATTAGCAACATTTTCTGGTGTATAGGACTTTTTGTTTTGTTTTCTTTTGCCGAATATCCACTTTCCTCCTTCTGTGGATCAGTCCATCAATTTATTTTTGGACAGACCCGTGCACATTTCAAAGMTTGGGTTTGAGAACCCACTCCATTTCCTACAGTCTAGGCCTGGCTAATCAGAGCATCAGATCCTTCTGGCCCAAGTGCTGAGTTCAAAGATGAGCACAGAGCCCAACCAGAGCCATTCAGAGTTAAGCCCCAGATGGAGCACCTAGAGTGGAGACTCAGGGTTACCAAATACCACACAGACATATTTCTGTACAAATCAGATAAAAATGGTCCCCCTTCCTCAATATGCTTTATGATTCTCTTTTGGGAAATGGTTATGCAATTCTGATTCTGTAAGAACAAGATGTTTTACTGTGATCTTCCATAAAACCATGCTGTAATTCATATATAAACCTGCCCTGGTACACAGTGTAACTATCAATCACCCTTTCATTTGATGACTTCCTACGTAAATGCACACCATGCACAATAGTGTGCAATGATGACACCTACTTCTCCCTCCCAGTCCCCCAGCTGTGAGCATATAACCCTGTCATATTTTGTGCCAGCAGTTTCCACATGAACAGGGAGATATCTGAATTCAAAAGAAGAGAAATAAATATAAAGAGACAGAGACAGACAACACAGACAGACAAATCAAGTGAGAGAGTGAGAGGAAGAAAGAGATTGGAGCTTCATTAAAACATTTGTGCTCCTGGACCCAGGCCTGTTAGAAAGAATGCCTCTTGACTCTTTCAATTATATAGTATTTTCTTTCTGTTGTTTGAAGCCCCAAAGATTCCCTTCTAGTTCTTCTGTTTCAATACCGGAAAAAAAAAAAAAGGTGGAATCCCCGGAGATGCTATCCTGTTAAGATAGCACAAACTAATTTGGAAGGGAAAGAAGCAGCAAAGGATGTCACAAACAGGCACACATGGGAACTCAAGTGCTAGTTTTTAAGCGCCAGCATCTCAGGCAGTSTTTGACCAAGACTACATCCATTTTTAAATTTTAATTTCAGGCTATTTATTAGAAACTCCATGCCCCAAACAAAACAAAACAAAGCTAACAAACAAACAACAACAAAAAGAGTAACAAATAGTGCCACCTGATTTTTCACCTGCACTGTGTCCTTGGTGGTGTTGTTCTCCTCCATTTTCATTTTGCATCCTGTAATTGCTGAATGCACATCTCCTAGCTGACTGTGGAATGCTGCCTTTCTCTGTGTTCCTTCCTTGCTCTGTTCAATTCTCCCAAAACATCTGGCAGCCATCATTATCGTCCTTGTAGTGAAGCCATTTGTGTGCAAGTCTTATTTCCCCTGCCAAGTTATAAGATCCTTGAGGGTAAGGGCTGGGGATTATTTATCATTTTACCTGGGACAATGCTGTGAATTGTGTTTTGTGCCTAAGATACACTCATGTGTTGAATGAATCAGAACTGGTTTTGTCATTCCACACCATCTTTATCTGACAGTGACTGAAACCTAAATTGGGCAGAGCAGGAATACTGGCAGATAAATTACTACCCTTTTAGTCATCATGCACAGTTTTTGGAACTCAAACAATAATTAGTGTATTTTGAAGTGGATTTGCTTTTTAAAAATTTTGAGACAGGGTCTCAGTAAGTTGCTTTGAGCCTCCCTTAATTGCTGAGGCTGGCCTTCAACTTTGGATCTTCCTTTCTAACCTCCGAAATTGCTGGGATTACAGGTGCATACCATCACACCTGTTTGAAATGATTTTGTTTTCAAAATAGTTTGTAAACCTAAGGTGTTCTAACTGTAAGGAACTTGATAAACCTTTCATGAAAACTTTAATAGGACTTTCTGGAGTCAACTGCTCATTCTTGATTCATTAACTGTGGCCACTGCCATAGGCTGCTTAGGGAGGTCACAAGCACAACCTTCTTTCTATAGCCAGGAAATATAAACACCTGGATTACATAGCAAGTGAACTCTATCTTTGTATGGTGGCACTTTCCTGTAATTCCAGCAACTCAGGAGGCTGAAGCAGGAGGATTGCAAGTTTGAGGCCAGCTTGGGCAACTTAGCCAGACCCTGTCTCAAAATAAGGGGTGTAGCTCAGTGGTAAAGCACCTTTGAGTTCTATCCTAGTACTGGGGGGAAAGTATAAGAAAGCAAGTTCTGTTACTAGAGAAACCAGAATGTGATGCTGAGTTTGGAAAATCATCACACATCCCCACAGCTTCAGAGGATGAGGCAGGAGGATAGTGAGTTCAAAGCCAGACTCAGCAACTTGGAAAAACCCTAAGCAAATCAGTGAGTACTTTTCTCTAAATAAAATCTAAAAATGGGCTGGGGATGGCTCAGTGGTTGCCTTGGGTTCAATCTCCAGTACAAACAACAACAAAAACAACAACAACAAATCATGACACATTCAGTATCTACAGTATCTCATTCATCTTTATACAGTTAGCCAGGGTACACAGAATCTGGTCCTTCATAGATGACTTGGGGATTCCATTTTGTTTCTGTTTTTTTTTTTTTTTTTTTGAGAATATGGACTGCAAATTTCTGTGTAAGACTAGTTCATGCAGAAATGTGCCAATCATTATCATTATTCTAAGGCCAGGATTGATAGGAGGGGAAAGGAGTTTTAGGGACAAATATTACACATTATAAAAGCTAAGATTAAGTTACTGGAAGATCAGTTTTTGGATTCTGACACTCCAAATAGAAGTTGAGGACATGGAGCACTTAAAAGAGAGCCCAGAAAAGTTGCAGTTGAGTGGAAGGGCTAAACACTCACCCTAAACAGTCTTAGAAATAATCTTAGAATAAGCCTGGAAAAGATCATTTCGATCCGCAAGTACCTTCATGCCTACTAAAACAAAATTGGACAGTTTTTAAAGGGTGACAATAAAATGCAGACACATAACTATGTTACATTTACACTGCATTGAATTCAGTGCAAATCAAACATGGAGAATGCTGGAGAAAAAAAAATACTCAACAAAAAGAGAATCTGGAATGAAAGATTTTGGAATTAGCACCTAAGCACAAAAAACAAAGTAGACCAAATACTGGAATTACCCACATGGTCTCTTACATTACATAGAAAAGTGCTCATGTCGATGTAATTAAGGTAATCAATTAGTTGACATAAAGGTAAAGAGATTATCTAGGAAGCCCATCTGACACCACAGGAATCCTTCAAATAAAATGACTTTGCTGGTTGCAAAAGAGAAAAACAGAGTTGTGAGGTAAGATGAGGATATGACACAAAGGAGAGTCTCTTTTAAGAGGAAGAAGACCACATGGAAGGACCTGAGAGTAGTCCTAGGAACTAGTTGGAAGACAGCCATAGGGAAGGCAGGGACATGAGCTCCATCTGGGCAAGGCGCCAATTTCTATTAACAACCTCAGAGAAGATAGCA